TACTCAGGAAAGCTTAATTCTGTCCTGTGAATGTGACATTTAGTGTTGATACCTACTTAAATGAGTATCTAGTTTCAATAATAGTTTTAGTATCAAATAGTATCTAATTTTTGACACTTTTGGAAACCCTAGATTAGATTGACCATACATATCACAAGCATGGTCTTTGTTCTGTAAATATTTGTTGCTCTGCCCCCTGTAGGCGACAGATGTTACTGTTCACTCCATATATCCGTGATTAAGTGAGGTTCAGGATAGGGATTTGCATGATTAGTCGATTAATCGATAATTGATCATTAAGAATTTCATCGATTACGTACATTTTTATCGACAAACCGAGTGTAGGTTGCTGTGCGTAGCGTGACCAAACAGGGGTCCGTACACGTAGCTCTCTGCACTCAGAAGGAGCGAGCAAACACAAACAGTCGGTCAGTCTGCAACGTACCGAAGTGCATATGCGTATTTAACGATGATTTGTACAAGAAATTCCACACTTTCTGTTCCGGTCGGGACAAGTGTGAGTCCATGTGCACAGTGTATAAAGCAGCACATATGTTTTGGTGTTCAGTGGAAAAAAGTTTTGCCAGGTGAGAGTCGCGCAATGTCGATGACGAGTCCCCACCTTCCACCCCCCGTACGGTGTCCTGGTTTTGACAAACGCAAACATGGTCACACTAACCTGTATTCCACTGAGTCGTGTCTTTTAATCCGACAGAAATTGACCGCATCAGCGACACAAGAGCTACAGTTTTTTATCTTCGCTGAGTTTATGCAAATTAGCGATGCGGTTTTAAGTTTCGTTTCTGTGAGAGTTGCGCAAATCTGAATTAAACACATTATAATAAACGGGCAGATGTGGCTCTAGAGTGGTTACGGTTTATTTGTCGTAAAGTTGAATTTATTTATGCAGATTAGGAGTGCAGATAGTAATAATAATGATGATCATTTTAATATAAAAACGTTAATGATTAATCGTTAATTCTCTCGACGATCGATTAAGAAAATTTCATCAAATGCCCATCCCTAGTTCAGGAGCTGGACCACGCCTCAACCTTCACTTCAGCCAGCTACAGCTTGTTTCAACCACGCCTTCAATTACCCAGAAGCCCTATTTTATGGCCTGTAAAGACAACAGCGTCCATGTCAGCGCTCTCCCACTCTGTGTCTTTCGCACGTCCTTCAATCCGAAGACAGCACCCTGAAGAAAGGGGGGGGGGGTCCGATTCAGCTGGGTGATCATTTTGGATTGGAGATTATACCCCCACCCTGAATCTCCCCCCCAGCCATCACATCTATCCACCGTCACATAAATATCATTGTCATATTCCACTGTTGGGGCATGGTCCTTGCTCGTGAATGAAATATTTAAAGGCTCATTGCACAAAATGTACTCTTGTGAGCTTTAAACCATGTTATAATGCTGTTAATTCATCAAAAACACACCTGGAGTTGTGTTTTGTTTCATTCACACAGGTTTGCGTAATCCCGTATTATTAGTCGTTCTACATCTCCAAATCTTTTTTTTTTTTTTTTTCCATTAAAGTTTATTGGAAACAAAGGAACAATATATATCATACATTGACACAGCATTTCAATTGTAGTCCCCTTTCTCCTTTTCTAAAAGTAAATAAAGTCATTGTACTTATATTATAGAAATGATCAAACTTGAACAAAAGGAAAAAAGCTTGGTAATATTAACATCTCCAAATCTTAAAATGCTTTGTTCCACCTTGTGATGTCAGGAAGCGTTAGTTTTCTAGGTAGCAGCTATTTTTGATTTTTTGTTGAGTAGAAACTGGCGACTCCCGGGCTGAAATTATCCAAAAGATTCTAGTGAAGGTGCATGGAGTTCAAAAGCACAGTGGAGCACTTCCTGTATAACCCCATGACTAGGGCTGGATATCATTAAGAAGTTGCTGATACGATACATGGGCCACTATACGATACGTTTTTCGATACAGTGCACTTTCAATTTATTACAATTCGATTCGATATATATTACAAATTGATTCAGTATGGTTCAGTGAAAAACAAAGGCTAAATCATGGCTGTGATACTAAAAGGCCACTTGTGGTTGTTTTTGTGTTGAGTTAATATGAAAAATTTGCCAGGCTGGCGCCACCTTACGTCTCCTCTCAATTTCATTTCTCTCCAGCGACTAGGTCAGGAATCGGAAAAGACACTAGATGGTTCACAAAAATCTTGGAAGTACGAGTTTGGGCACCAGCCAATCAGCAAAGAGCCATACATTCTGTGTTGGCAACGATTCACGAGATTGAAGATTTAAAGCCAGAACAAAGAGAATGTTTGGTGAATTTTCTCAAGGGGAAAGACGTTATTGTCCTTCTTCCTACGGGATTTGGGAAAAGCTTAATATACAAGTTAGCCCTGTTAGCGGCGCATTACCTACGTCACGACCAAATAGCAGCGATTGGTTAAATGAAAAAAACACTCGTCTACTGTGAACAAATTCTAACGCTGCAAGGTCAGACGGTTTCTACGAAATGAAACCGGCTGATGAATCAGGCTAAGTGTTTTTGGTATGAGAGAAAAATACAGCCTAAAAGTGCAGGAACATTTCTGAATGAAACTCCAGGTATTTCTGTGATATGGAAACAATATTACAATATACTGTAGATCAGAAAATGGTGTAATATGGGCCGCTTTAAGTGAGCCGCAGAAGTGGAGAAAACAAGAGCGGTTATTAAAGGCGGTTGCCCTGTTTGTTCCAGTTCTAATCTGACTCTGGTTCATTCTCACAGCACTCAGTGTGTGAATGTGCTGCTGAACTATGGTGTTGATGGAAAAAGTGAACTCTCAGCTGCTTTCAATTGCCCCCAGGTCCTGCTCGGATGAAGTGAGAATGCAAAGTGTGCCAATACATGCACCCCAGCACCGAGCTGCTCACAAAAAGCACTACGCAAACATGGAACTTAGAACAGAACCAGAAATGGCAATCTGAAAAGCCAAGATGAGAATATGAGAAGCTGTCAAAAGTATTGTTAATCAGACACTAATTCGTACTCATCAGATATTGTGGATGAAGTAGTTTTGTTAATTAAAGGTCTTATATTACACAAATTTGACTCTTGTGAGCGTTAAGCCATGTTAGAATGTTGTTACCTCCTAAAAAACATACCCAAATTTGTGTTTTGTTTCATTCACACATGTTTGATTAATCCTTTATTATTAGTCTGTCTACATCTCCAAAGCTGAAAATGCTCTGTTCCACCTTGCGATGTCATGAAGTGGTACTTTTCAAGTTAATAACTACCTCTTACCTTTTGTTTCAGGTCTGAGATTATCACATCACATAACTTTGTTGGTCTGTTTTTTTTTCCATGAAGATAAAGGTTTAATACCATACTGACATTCCAGACAAACCAATGAAATCTCCACGGACAAAAGCATCTGACGGACCCTCCACCTTACAATACGTTATTTATTCCAAAGAACTAAGACTTAAAAGTGCATAGAACTGTTATTTCTTCATGTAGTCTGCACTGAAATGGAGCAAAGTATCATGGTCTATGTAGTTTCCTTTGTCGTTTTTAGCTATTGCTGCACCATAACTCTTAAGTCTTTACCATCTAAAAAACATAGCAAAAATCAAAGGTTTTCTGTCTAAATCAGACTTGGAGAAACTTATCCATGCGTTTGTCTCCAGTAGGTTAGATACTGTAATGGTCTGCTCACTGGTCTCTCCAAACGAGCTGTGAGACGCTGCAGAACATCCAGAACGCTGCAGCTCGGGTCCTTACTCGAACTAGGAAGTACGAGCACATAAGTCCTGTGCTCAGGTCTCTGCACTGGCTTCCTGTGTCTCAGAGAATAGACTTTAAAGCAGCTCTGCTTGTGTACAAGTCTCTCCATGGCCGAGCACCAAAGTACATCTGTGACATGTTAGTGTCATATGAACCATCTCGCACTCTGAGGAGCTCAGGGACCGGCCTCCTGCTGGTGCCCAGAGTCAGGACTAAACAAGGGGAGTCAGCGTTTCAGGTTCATGCAGCTAAAACCTGGAACAGTCTGAACATGTGAGACAGACTCTTCTGTGACGCTGTTTAAATCCAGGCTCAAAACATTTCTGTTTAACTGTGCATATAACTGAAAGGTTTTCATTCCGCACTCTTCTCTCCAATTTATGTCTCTCTTTTTTAATTTTAATCTTCATGATTATTTATGTTTTGATTTGTTTTTATTATGATTTTAATGTATTTCTTATTCTGTAAAGCACTTTGAATTACTTTGTGTACGAATTGTGCTATACAAATAAACTTGCCTTGCCTTAAAGGGCCCATCTCATGCAAAATTAACTTTTCAGAGCTAACCCTAACCTTCTAAGAGTGATGTGTGGGCCTTGTATATGTCGCCGAAGTGTTTTTTAGATTGATTCAGCCTTTTTTTTTTTTTTTTTAAACAAATTGCAGCGTATTTTTGCCACTCTCCCATGTGACGATGAACTAAAGCCTGCTACAACGATGATGCGGCAGCTACACCGATGACGTGTTTGACGTAGCAGAAAGCGCTTTGCTTCGCTTCAAACATGTCTGCTACGTCAAACTGCTACTGGATGTTTCAAAAGCCAAATTATGCTTGTATACGTGCATAAGATACAATGTGAAAATAGTTATTTTTAGTTATAGTTATTTTGCATGAGATGGGCCCTTTAATTTAAGCAAAGAGACTTGTAATCCGATAAATTGATATTATTGTGAGAACTTTGACGATACAATATTACGATATTTCGATTATTGTTAAATTCCTACAATGCACCTTTAAGCTATTTATTTATTTATTTATTTATTTTAGCATGAAGGTGGAGAAAAATGGGCATAAACAGAAAACAACATAAATATTGTCTACTGTAAGGTCAACCTAGAATATATATTTTTTCTGAAACTTTGATACAAGGAAGTCTAAAAAAAAAAAAAAAAATAATAAAAATAATTCCCTCAACTCATTTAACACGCCTAATCTTGCTTTATGTTTTTCTCCAGGGAATGAGTTTGGTCACCCGGAGTGGCTAGACTTCCCCCGAGAAGGCAACAACGAGAGCTACCATTACGCCCGGAGACAGTTCAACCTGGTGGACACTGATCACCTGCGCTACTTCCAGCTCTACCGCTTTGACCGCGACATGAACTGGACCGAGGAGAAGTACGGCTGGCTCGCTGCCTCTCAGGTAAACCCCGGTACTGCAACTCATCACGGCGCTAGAGAGGTCGCCATGGCAATTTTCTCTATGTATTTTTTATGAGAAGACATGTCAAACCTAGGCATTTTACAAAGCGTGGGCGACATTTGATTCGATGGAATGTTCCACAGTATGACATTAAATAGGTCTACCTTACATTTATTCAGTTACAGGGGATTTTATAACTCCAAAATACACAGAAAAACAGGCATTCTGACAGTGAGCGGGGTCGCCTCTCCACAGATCTGACCTGTAACTTGGTCTGGTTTGGTCTCTATGAAGATAGAAAAGTTTAATACCATACTGTGAAACATTCCAGATAAAACAATCATATCTCAGACCCTCCACCAGAAAAGTTACACAATGCACCTTTAATGTTTACTATAGTGTAGTGTTGTCACAATTCTAACATTTCAAACTTGATTTTGATACTAAGGAATAGATTTGATACTCACTACTGATTTCAATTACCATGATCATACTAAAAAAACTCTCTTTATTTAGACAATAGACTGTGATTTTCAACAGAAAATCATATTTTCTTTTATATTACCGTCTGGTCAGTGGTCCAGGCAGGTTTCATGGTGATCCATGGGCGTTTACTAGTCTATGTGCTATGATCATTTTAAAATTATTCAGGAAAGTTTCAATTCTGTCCTGTTAATATTACTCATGTATTGTATCGTCAGACTCAAGGCAATTCACACGCCTACTAATCACATATCATGATTTGCATGTCACGATTCAATATATCACAATATATCCCGATACTAAAACAATGCTTGATATATTGCGATATAATGGCTGATACAGTCAACTACACCTTCAAGAGAACACAATTGTATAAACTATAATTTATGATTTTTATTTTTTTTTTTTAATCATGAGAACAGTGAATGTAACCAATGAATTTTTGTGAAAAATTATATTTAAAAAAATCGATTCAGGTCCATTTTGAATCTATTGGAGAATAGTGCAGTGAAGTATCATGATATATTACTGAATCGATATTGAGTATCTTGTTTTTATACAAGTTATAATATCCATTAGTATCTGATTTTCAATAATTTTCACAATCCTAATAGTAATAAAGTACAGTAGTCTATATTTTACAGTAATTTCCTTATGAACAGTTGTTACAGTGATGCTGGTGCGGGTCCGGCCCTCCGCCACATGTCTGGATTTGAATATGGCCCTTGGGAAATAACTGCCCACCCCTGTGGTACATAGAGATTCTATTGGTGTTATGTTTATTGACATTAAGAAAAAAACAATTAACTTTTAATTAGACTACAGGTCATATCTGCTTTATTAAATCAAACTTCAAATTTATAGCCTCCTTCTTATTGCTTGCTGCTTGACCTTCAAAGTGATTCTTCACTACAAAGACATTTGATCACAATATCTTTTGTGAAACAGCAAAGGCAACATCATTTGTTCTAATATTCTTTAAATAATCTAAATATTACCAGTTTATAATCAAATTCCAGATTTGTGTTAAATTATTCATAACAGGAATATATAAAATACATTTTGAGAAAACGCATGTGCCTTCACACTCAAAACACCTGGTTTAATCCCTGTTTGAGTGCTCTGTGTTGGTACTGTAGATCCTAGTCAAGTTTAGTCCTGGTCTAGTTTTAGTTCTGGGTTTAAACCAAATTTGGTTTCGTTCAAATTTTGTGGCCATTGCACCAGTGTGTAGAAACCATCACATTCATTGATGTAGCTGATTGCAACAGGAAGAGCATCTTGCGTAAAGAAATTTTAAAAAAGAAAAATCTTCCAAATCTCCTTCCCTCCTTCAGTCTAATTCACAGTGTAGATTTTTGATCAAATTACACACAAAAAAGTTTAAAACAAATCCATTTCTTTCATTTTTCAGTAACTCAAATTAAATTATTTTTATCTTATCTTTGAAACAAAACCTCTTTAAACATTTCAGATTCCCTCTCCAAAGCATTCTCGTATGTTTTCCTGTAATGTCCTTGTCCCCCTGTTTGAGAAACTCTGCTTTACACCTCACAGCACAATGAGCCTTCATATTTGAGCTGCATTCTTCTCCCCATCCCACGGTACACCTACATGCAGGTTATTTTGGAAAACGTCTCATTCCGTGTTTGCTGGGAGCGCTACACTAATAGATTTTGCTGTGTGCGCGTCATTTCGTGAGTCTGTAATTGAAGCCTGTGGGTAAAAGACTTTAGTTTATCTCTCTGCGGGGCTGAGTGCAGAGATGGAGTAATGCATATGTGCGGAAAGTGACACGGATTACAAGCTAGTTTTGTGTAAGACATCCAGAAGAACGCTCCATTCTTAAACTGCGTATGTCAGATTTTTATGATTCTTTCATTTTGATTTCACCTGGTGGGATTATAACTATTGAAAATATATACTATAATTATAATTTTACACAAATCAAGAAGCAATTTGGTTACGAAAGTTGAAAAATATGAAATTTACAGGAAGTAGAGAGTTCTGAACACACTGACATCACACTTGGGAGAATTCTATCCAAAAGTTCGGTGCAGTTTTATAGTGCAGTAGAGTATTAAGAAGTTGCAGATACGATACATACCTCGATACACAGGCCACGATACGATGCATTTCTCGATACAGTGCACTTTCGATTTGATATGATATGTTTGAAATCGATTTTATATGGTTCAATAAAAAATAAAGGTTAAATGATGGCTTTGATACTAAAAGTCTTTGTTTAACCACTTCTTGTGCAAAGTTAATATATGAAACACACATTTTGATATCAAAAATCAGACAAGTTTATACAAATGAACTGTGAACGACTCAACTACAGCTCAGGGTACCAACTTTTAAAAAAAAAAAAAGGTGGGGTCCATTTATTGACTTTTTCGAATAAATAAGACACTTATGCCCTAACATAACATAACATGGCTTTTTTTTTTTTTTTTTTAGAAAAAAAAGGAAAAGAGGGCTGAAAAAAAAAATTAAAAATAAATAATGTGTGTGAGGGCCCGGTCTCAGGACACTGTTGATGTGAACTGAATTGTGGCAATAAAAGTTTTAATCATCAAAACAGTGAATATGTCAAGTTTTCTTCCTCTTAACAAGCAACAAAACTGTAACGCTGTAACAAAATAATTTAGTAAAATATACCAAAATAATAAAAAATTATAAATAAATAAAATACTTTTAAAATAAAATAAAATAAAATACTCTTGACGATGTATGGATACAGCAGCCCACAATATCGATACTGTATCATCACATTAAACGATACAATATATCGATATTTTGATATTTTTGCACACCCCTACAATTTAAATGCAAACACATTTTCTCTACTTAAACTACTTTACTACTCCTTAAACTACTTTAAACTTGATTTCAACAAAATAAAGGTATTTTCTTATATTTGTATTTGTCTGATCATAATTTCTGTGTACATTAGTTTTGCTTATTCTCTAGTGTGATGTCATGATTTACAACCAGAAAGTAAAATTTTAAACCTAAAAACCAGAGGCAGGGACTTGCAATTTGTGACTTGGACTCAAGTCAGTCTTGAGTCAATATTTTTAGAACTTGAGACTTGACTTGATAAAATGGACTAAGACTTGGGACTCAACTTGGGCTTGAAGCTCAATGACTTGGGACTTGACTCGGACTTGAGGCCTTTGACTTGAGAAGACTTGATGCTTCTCCTAAAAAATAAATGTTTTTAGAAAATACTTTTCTCTTTACAGATGATACATGTGGTGCTTAATTTTACAAAAACAAACTTTAATATGTCTCTCCCACTTTTCTATTTGTTACTTTGATTGTAACTGAAGTAGTGTGATGTGGTATCATCAAATGTACTGCAGTAATACACAGTAATATTTTGTACTACAATACAGTGCAACAGAGGGAACTACAGAGAACTACATGACAAAATAACTGTATTTACCAGTTTTAATTCTGAATTCTTTCTTTTCTGACCGTAATGATTTTGTCAAGACATTTAAAAAGGAAAAATGAGCATTTGTACAACTCTTATATAAATATGCCATGACTATTTAAGTACAATTTGGTTTAAAATTCATAGAAATTGCAAAATTCTAAGCTATATTTGGTACTTTGGTGTAAAGACTTGAAATGACTGAATGAAGCTCAATGCAGACGACTTGAACTTGACTTGGACTTACGGGCCAGTGACACAAGACTCGACTTGGACTTGCCTGTCTTTGCTTTCGGACTCGACTCAGACTTGAGGTCAAAGACTTTAGACTTAGTCCCACGTCCCACCTTAGTCGACTTGGTCCCACTGCTGCTAAAAACTGCCCAACTGGAAAAAGGAATGTGAATGTTTTTGCTGAAATCTTAAACATAATGATCTTAACTGTGTTTTAGTAAAAATGTTTATTCCAACTTGTCACAGCCGCTTTAAACAAGTACATTACACCTGCCTGCATTTATTCAATCTGCTAATGTCAGTATGCGATCTCCTTAGGGCTGAACGGTGAATTTTTAGCGTTTATTTTGAAAAGGTGTCTCTGTTGGAATCGTCAGACCTTTTTCTTGATACAAAAGCGAGCTCTGATGAAAACGGATGGCTTCACATTTTAATGAAAGCGAGAGGAATGAAAAATTGTCCTTGGCCCTGTCTGAAAATATTCAAAAAGCATCACGCATCTTTTCGACACTCCAGACACAAAAAAAGAAATTTCATTAATCTTTTATGTTCAAAATGAAATATATAAAATGAAACTTTTCTTTGAACGAGCTTTCGCACTTAAAAAACTATGTTAGAAAAGTCGTAATTGAATAATACACGTTTAACCAGACATCATTTGCAGCCTTTTGAATAGTTTGAAAAGTGTATTTTACTTCTTTTGGCTGTTAACTGCTAACACATAACATATTTCAATCACCAATATGACCTTTTATTGTGTCAAAAATGCTGTATTCACTGGAACCAACATATTAAACGTATTTAATCTATTTGTATCTTGTGAAGTTGTTACCTTGTT